GGGGGGCCCCGGGGGGGGCCCCCAGGGGGGCCCCTCGAGGGTTTAGAATTAAAATGATTTAAAGAAAAAGAGCAGCAGCAGTTTTGTGGGTTGTGGGGAGAAGCTGAGGTGTACAAACAGCTCAGGGGGACAGAAAGGTGTTTATTTTGGGGTTTGGCTGTTTCGTCTTTTGCCCCAAACCCTAAACCCTAAACCCTAAACCCTAGGTCCACTGAGCAGCCTTCGAAGGGTTCAGGGTTTAGCAGTGCCGCGTAGGCATTATTAGAGTTAAAAGGGTTTAGGGAGCAGCTGAGGGACTTTAGCTTTAGTCAGAGGGTTTAGGGTTTAGGGTTTAGGGTTTGCGTACCAGTCGACGGAGCGGCTTCTTTCCGATTAACTGCTGCGTCGACTTGGTCCCGAATGCGCACAAGCTGCTGCATTATCTGCTGCTGCTGCTGCTGCTGCTGCTGTTATTGCTGCTGCTGCTGTTGCTGCTGCTGCTGCTGCTGTTATTGCTGCTGCTGCTGCTGTTGTTGCTGTCGTTGCCGTTCTTATTGTTGCTGTTGTTGCCGCAGCTTTTGCTGCTGCTGGTGCTGCTGCTGGTGCTGCGGCTCTGCTGCAGCAACCGGGAAGTCACGGCAGGCTGCGTTCAGCCTTTAGGGTTTAGGGTTTAGGGTTTAGGGTTTTGTTCCCCCCAGGGTGTATAGAGGAGTCACCAGAGGCATTTCTCTGTATGCCTTTATTAAACCTCTTCCAAGAAGACAGTCGTAAGGGTTTAGGGTTGAGGGTTTAGGGTTTAGGGTTTAGCGCCTAGGGTTGGCGGTTTAGGGTTTGCGGCGTCGAGACGGCGCACTATGCACTGCGCGAAGTCACAGCAGCTTTTGTCTTTGCAAAAAAAACCAAAAATATTAATTTAGCAAACCCTAAACCCTAAACCCTAAACCCTGCACACGGAAACTGCGCATGCACTTTGGGGCTTTTGGACGAGCCGAGCAAGAACTTTGATTTTGCCTCTAAACCCTAAACCCTAAAACCTAAACCCTAAACCCTAAACCCTAATCCGCAACCAACAAACTCTGAATCTCAGGAGTATATCTCTGTTTTTTGCTTCTCTCGGGTTTGGTTCCTTTTAGACCCTAAACCCTAAACCCTAAACTCTAAACCCTAAACCCTCGTTATGATTTTTTACGAATCCCTCACAAGTTTTTTGTATTCGACGCGTTGGTCTTGCTTGAACTGTACACCTCAAGTCTTGACCCCTAAACCCTAAACCCTAAACCCTAAACCCTAACGAGTAAACCCTAGGGCCGCGTCGACAGGCTCAACGCCGCCTTGCGAAAATGAGTAAAGAGGTGTGTCCCCCAGCTGCGCCTAAGAAAAACCCTAAACCCCAAACCCTAAACCCTAAACCCTCAGGCGTAGCCCCGGATGAGCAGGCTCCCCAGGAAACGTGCGTTGCCCTGTCTCGCCGTGGCGAGGGTTTAGGGTTTAGGGTTTAGGGTTTGTGCGGCGCAGGAAGAAGAACCCTCTTCCTCTTCTTCTGCTGCAGAAGACAGCAGCGGCAGCAGCAGCTCGGACTCCGAGTCGGGCGAGCAGCAGCAGCAGCAGCAGCAGCAGCAAAGAGAGAAAAAGAGTAAAAGCAAAAGCAAAAGAGCAGCAGAAAAAACAAAAAGTAAACGGCAGCAGGCGAGAGAGAGAGCAGCAAAACGCAGAAGGGGAGTCAGCGCTTTCCTCGATGTCGAGGCCCAGGTGAGGGTTTAGGGTTTAGGGTTTAGGGTTTGGGGTGAGGCGCAGCAGGGCTTTGGGGGGCCTCGGGAGTGTTTTCGCTAGGGTTTAGGGTTTGCGCTGCGTCGACAGCGGTCTGCGTGGCCGGGCGCTCTAGGGTTTAGGGTTTAGGGTTTAGGGTTTAGGGTTTAGGGTTTGGCGTTAGGTTGGAGATGAAGAAGAAGAAGAAGAACTGGACGAATTCATAGACCCTAGCGAAGCCCGCGAAGCTTCGCGGTTAGCAGCAAAAGCGGCAGAAGCGCGGCGGCTGTCGCAGCAGCAGCAGCAGCAGCAGCAGCAGCAGCAGCAGCAGCAGCAGTGGGGCCGCCGCGGCGGCTCCGCACATCTTGTCTCTGCAATTGACTCTCTCACGAGAAGATATCAAGATC